GCCTGATGATGAAACGATAAACGCCCGGTAAACGTTGGGCTTCAGGTAGCTCTAACGCTTCCTCTCGCGAAATGACGAGACAATCTTGTTACTCGGAATATAAACAGACTTTAGTGGCGATTTGCCTGGACTTCATAAAGTCTTCATAAGGTGGGACGAATCCATAATCGCAAAGGCGCTGTTAAAAGCGTTAAGCGTGAAAGGTATTAATAAATCACGGAGTATGTATAAGAAAATATTAGCTCTGCAGCAACATGCGCTATACAAAGAAGCGAGATTATGCAAGTGGAAATTGCCTTGTTAAATGCTGCGTGATTTTCCGGAAACGTGGTACTTAAAAAGAGTAATCGAAATAACGAACGGATTAACCCGCTGAGAATTTCCTCGACATTATTATGGTGATCGTGATGAGACGCTATTTCGTAGCCCGAGAACAGCAATGGAACGAGTACTGTAGTTTACTGTGCCCAAAGCAGACCATGTGCACCGTATAATAAAGTTTATCACGTCCGATAAAAATTTTACGATTATAATAATTTGCACGAAATTTTTCACGCTTTTAGCATCGATAGCTCGCATGTAGATAGCAATCCGTTCACGATAATATTCGTCAGAGATGATATAAACTGAAAGAATAAAATTTCTAGTTACTTCTAAGTTAATTAAAGAAATAACAGTTATTTAAAAAAAAAAATAAATAAATAAAAGAGCGAAATATAATAAAAGTCGATCTATCTATCCGAGAAGTCTTTCCCACGGAGGTGATTCAGTTCTTTCTGCGAACCAATTTATTTGTGGGAATTGAATCATTTATCGGAACACGTTCTCATTACGAAACAGGCCTAGATCGGCGTTTTTCAATCCTTAACCTTGCTTTCAACGCGAGTCTTGGGAATTTAATCTTTTGATTCTCTTTCTAACACATTAAGTACTTAAGAAAATGAATAACGTATATTAATTTTAGTCTTGATATTCTATGCCACATAGTTCTTCTAATTTATTATTATAATTCTCAGTTTTTTATGCAATTTTTTATATTCTTCATTATGATATAATTCTAAATTATTTCGTCTTTCTAATTACGTATATTTTATTCCTTTCGATGAAACACGAAAATTTATCGATTCGCAGAGGTTAACGATTTTTACACAAAGTTGTAATAGTAGTTTAATTGCGCGAGGCTACCAATGTATTTGGAGAAACCAGGAGCAAGCTTCAAAGCTCTCGAGACTTCCTCCCATCGGATCGGCCGAAACTTAATTACCTCGGCGAGCTGTATGCGGCACTGCCAGCTACTCGAAGGGTGAAAGGGCCGCAGGGAATACTTCCTAGCTTCGACAAGGCCTAACTAGCGATTCTACGTGTTCTAGGCAGTCGATCCAACAATAACAGATCGTGTCCGGCGCTACTATAATTCTTTCACGCAGTAGAAGGATCGAATTTCAGCATGAGTTCTTCTCATGGCATTCACCTGTCGAACACCGATACTCACAATTTTCGGAAATAATCTCGCGTAACACGCGTGTCAATCGCTCTTTGATCGCGTCGTCGCAAAGTCGATATCGAGCCGATCAGTTTGAAAGACGGCAGAAACAGCAACGGCCGTTTTATCAATACGATAGTGATCAGTATCGTCTACTTGATGTATGTCGTATATATGTAAGTGCAGATATGTGTGCGGTGGTTAGGTAGAGCGCTTGAAATGGGGTGACGTTGGCGGGTGAGCGCCACACAGTGGTCGAGGGGTTGTGCCATGGGGCAGAGGGTGTTGTATGGGTTGGGGGTTGGGGGTTGGTTGGGTGGTTGTGTAGTGTGTATTGATCGAGCGAGGAGAAGAGCAGCCCGACTCTCTTTCTCCGTTTCTCTTTCCTTCTCTATCTCTCTATCTCTCCTCCCTCTCGCTCCCTCTTTTTCTCTCTTTTACTCTGCGCCGCACTTTGCATGGACATCCATCTTTCTCGCTAGAATCTTTTTCGCTTTTCTTCCTCTCTATCTCTCTCCCTTTATGCAAATCACCCGCCCTCGCTGATGTCCACGTCATGGTCAATCGGCCGTTGTTTCTGTCGACAAACAGTGACAGCGAATTACAGACACCCGAAATATCGGCCTTTCCGACATTCTGTAATTTAGGTTTCCCTCTCTCTCTCTCTCTTTCTCTATCTTTGTCAAATGTTTGTCAGATTCCATTGATAGGGGAAAATCGATCGTTGCTACATGGGTATTAGCACAATACAGGACGCGTTAACGGACGATCGATGCAACACAAATTTGAAATATTAATTACAGATTATATTACGTGAATATTCAGCTTATCTTTTCTTTATTTATTCTTTTTTTCTTTTATTTACGACTATTTATTTATTTATTTTATTTTATTCAATATTTTAGAATTACAAAAATTGTTTTTTTTTTTTTTGCCCCGTGCCTTTCCTGACGATTTAATTCGCGCTTTCCTGAAAAAGGCTGCGATTTACGATGATAGCAATCTAATCAGAAGATAATAATCCACGTTCTCGAGCAGAAACCATAAAATTACGAATACTGTAATCATGGTGCCGACGAGATAGACACAGGGGGAGACTTGCCGGCGTAATTTACAGCCCAGCCAGGTGCGTCAGAAGTTGCTCACCTTACGACCTAATTGGGTTTAATTATACCTGGCTGAAAGTTACGGCGATGCGCGCATGTATGCACGCCAGTTGGGTCACAATTACCGTCCTCCGGTAGGTGATTTTAGTTATGTCGCACGATCAGTTTATCTGTACCCGCTGCCTAACGTGATACGTCATTAATATCCCAGAAAGAGTAAAAAGAATCTATAAAAAAAGTTTTTGGGAGATTAATTTCACGCATCTTTCTCAACTTTGCCATGACTCTTTTCTTTATAGAATTATTAATGGGATCTCTCGTCTTACAAGATGAGTCATGGTCCATTATCATCTTGCTATCGATTCACGGCCATCTCAGATGAATCCCGGAGTGTTTCGCTTTAAATTGACTACATCATCGTCTACTCAGATCGCCGAGCTTGTAATACTATATGGACCTCGATATGGTCGATCGATGCGCTCAGTGTCAATAACCCGGTATTCCAAATACTACCGTCGCAACACATCACCAATCCTGGGATTAACAGTATTAATAACGATCCAGCTATATAACATTATCGCGGTTCGCGATCGAGAATCGAATTACCGTTCTTGCGAAACGAATTACGCCAATGCGTCAGTATCGCGATTTTATTCCCGATAAAGCTCTCGTCGGTCCGTTCGATTCGATGCGGCCGAATACGAGATTATTATAGATTAATTAATAACCCGTTTAATACGATTGAGAGCGCGTCATAATATTCGTCATTCGGACAAATCGTTATATTCGATTATCGGATCTATCCATATGCGAGTGAAACGGATTGCGTTGACATTGAAAGAGTCTCAAGAGTATTGATCGACGAGGAATTTTCGTAGATACGTCCGATATCTCATCGATCGTCTACTCAGAAAAGTAGTGCTACCCTCGTGTTCTAATAAAATACAGGAGCCTTCCCCTTATTAGCGAAACTTTTGGCGAATTTCCAAAGCACCCCTTCGTGTTATTCCTAACCCATATACTTGCGCGAAATTATGTCGTTTGACTTTGCATGCCATAATGCTCGTCTTCGTCATTTTTCGTGTTACTCTTTTAAATTTAATTACATTTTTTCTCTCCTTTTTTTTTTACGGAAGTTATACGAGCTTTCTCAATATTACCCTTACTTGATTTATTCGCGAATTTTCTAATCCATCTTTTTCAACCTTATTTTATTTCTCTCGGTATGTCGCAATACGCGAAAAAGTTTGAAAATTTTTTTCCAGCCACATAACACGCAATTACAAGTTTTTTCTAACTGCAAGCGACGAAGTAGGTTCACCAATTAGCGGCACGTACGGGAAATTATCGCGATTATTATCATGTAATTAGGAAAATAATTAGGAAAGTCGAGAATAGCGAGTCTACCAATGCACTGTTTCTATTTGCTCGATTCTTAACAAGGATTATAAATAAACGTGGCACAATAATAATATAACAATATAAAAATAATCTAAACTCTCGTTAATAACTTGCAAAATCGTCTCAAGATTGCAACATATGATCATGCAAGATATAAAAGGAGTTAAAAGGATAAGAGATAATGCTATTCGCATTTTATGCAAACGTTTTTATTTTAACTTATCGAAACTTTTAACATGAATATCTTTCAAGCACAAAGTAAGCAGAGTCGACCTCGATATCGAGGAAAAGTTCTCGCAAACTCGCGAGTAGTTCGTTATAATCCCGGCGATTAAAGGCCTCGAAGTCCAGAATCCGTACTTCTTGGGTATGTTCAAAAGGAACGTCCGTCCTTAGATACTCCTCTAACGCCCGAACTATACTCAGGAGAGGCAGCTGGCGTTAGTCAGCAAACCGCTCGGCTAATCCCTTAATTACTTCGACATGGTTAGCGACCCTGTACTAACCGCGTTGGTAGCTGGCATTGTTCCTCGATCGTTAATTAAAATGAGACTTTCTTGCAGCCGCGCGATTCCCGCCTGCGAAGAACTAGTGCACGCATTCAAAATAAAAATGCATTCCGGAATAATCAAATTTTAAATATTGATTAATGTTTTACATATCTGTTAATAGCCTTATAAAAAGTCAATCTCGTGAATATCACGCATCTAAAAAAAATTAATGAATAAAATACAAAGAAAAAAATGATCTCTCTATAATAATCTGTATAAAGTTTAGTATTTAAATTATTAAATATCGAACCCGGCATTAAATGCTTTAATTTTTTATGACGAAAAAAATGAGTCAAGTAAATAAAAAAATTGTGTCAAAAACGTATCAGATACATCTCGTGCACTTAACGAACAAAAATACTTATTCTATCGAGAGTCGCGATAGGCATCATTATTATTACGACCGCCCGTCGACAATTCATTCGCTTGTAATGCGTTGCATGAACGATGCTGATTCAGGTACGGCTGCGAGGGTGTGACGGAGTCCGCTCTCGTCGACGACACCCTCAACGGAAATCCCCGCTCGTCATCCCCGTCGTCGTCGAGCGCGATCCTGCCTCAATCTCACACCCTACAGTCGGGATCGATCGACGCTACGGACACTTCCGGGTTGAGAAAGTACGTACGAAACACACTCGTGTGATCTCGTGGCACCCAATCCCTCCTGCAGTTACCTCCAATCCTCCGCTTGTTACCACTATCCATCGCTTCTCCTTTGTGTGTTTCAAGTTGTCGCTTCTGTTTGCCGTTGTAGTAGCGAGAATGTCCCGTCATGAAACGAAACACCCGAGTTTCGCGTAAACAATCCAGCGCTTGCAGATGCGAGCTATTGTATGTAGACTCACCTGTCCGTTCGTGTATCCACGTTATTGCATATCATATTGCGATGCTGCGTGACAGATACAACGAATACCTCGTATTCGAAGAATGAATCGCGAACGTTAAACCGAGAACACTGGTATGAGTGACATCACTTTGCAAACTTTAATGGAACTACATATTATGTGATATGACGTATATCATATGTGTATGTTCTCCTCCATGAAAATTTATATTTGTATAAATGGACGACTTACATCTCCGCGATATTACACGCGCAAACAACAATGACGTACGAAAGTATCTCGAAACGATTTTCCGCAATTTCCATTGTCGATAGATACCTTTTATTTTTACATATAGATTTTTTCTCGGTTTCGATGCAGTCGATGTCTGACGCGCACGCTACTCATATCAAAAAGTAGAATAAAATTTCACACTGCCAGTAGAGATCGGACTTGTCTCGAGTCCTCTTGTATTATAAAGTAAAATAGACTTTTCTTTTTACGAGTAGCGATGTTGTTCCTTCCTACGTATCTCACTTTAGAAAATATATAGTAGTACTCGGATCCACATGGTAAAAGCAAATATGAATAACCGGATTGAATTTGATGAACGGAAAAACGACCACGAGTAATAGCTTGCTGTAGTATCGCACTTATCCTTTGTGTGTGTAAAAGTATTCTCACTGGTGTTATAATTCTTTATCGTTTGTGAGTTTGTGAAATTAATGAACTGTCATAAATAATATTAGGAGTGACAAGCAATTAAGAGTGATTAAACTATCTTGATATTACGTTATTTTATAACTATTCAAAATTTTTTTAAATTTTTCCCTCGAAAAAATTATATATTTTCTGCTTATATTTACATAATGTCCCAAATAAAACTAAACTTTGAATATTTTTCCCTCCTCTGAAACAAGCACTTGACAGACGCGACAGACACCTGTTACAGTCTCTTCACTGCATGTATACAGGTCATCCTTATTCACCCCAATTCCGTATAAAGCCTTCGGCTTCTTTTATGAATGTGCACGATATATAATTTTACATTACTTCCAAGTACGAAGCGCAATTTCTCCTCGCTCGCTCGCAAAGGACGTTTTATTTTACAGCCCCTGTAAATAATCTCCTGTTGGCCGGCTCGTGTCGCACCCGACTTTGATTAGCACGCGAGGATTTCTCGTGGCGGCGATAACGGGCGACTATATCGTCGAGGATCAATAGTAGTTTACGAGCAAGATGGCACGGCCGTCAGCTGGACTATCTAACGAGCGGAAATCAATTTGTTATTCCATCGTAGATGACAATCGTCGCGAATGTTCACCGATTCGTTCGTCGAAACGAACGAACACGACCGGACAATGACGCGATAAATCAAGCCGCTTATTTCGGCGATCGTGATTCGTCCTGAAATGTCGTGAACTGAAATTTCCTCGAGTCACGCGAGAACAGGAATACAATCGCGCACTCGTGGAGTTTCGCGATATAATACAACGAGAGAGAAAGAGAGAGCGGAGAGAGACTTTTTTTTTTTAGCGAACAACCTTGTCGCGTGTGACCGCCTCCTCGTGATGATGCGAGATTGATTGAAACGAGTCGCACGTAGACCTTATTGTTAGTTACAGCCGGGAATAGCAACCGCGAATGGTAAACGAAATTTTTAGATTGGAAATAGGGCCGATAAATAAAATTGAATATTTCTTTTACGAAGCTTTGTATATCGCTGTGATGAAATTTATAGCTTGCACTTTGTACTATCGCTAATTTCCTTGTTGAACGAATAAGAGCTGTGACTCCCTACTTCCGCTGCAATTTTTATAGCCGATTATATCGACTTTGATTAATGCTGGTCTTGATTCCCTTTTCACTTTCCTTTTTTAATATTATAGGTGCACGCAAAAAATCCAGAGGATTAAAATATGTTTATAAAGATACATTCGAGTTATAGGCGGATTTAGTGAAGACGTGTTTGTATTTCTTAACAATCTTGTTTATATGTTTTGTGTTCTAATTAAAAAATTAAATAAACTATATCTTTCCCGGCATATATTATATTGTATTATACAAAGAAAAAATTACATCCGCCTATGATTTGAATTAAAGATAGTCAGACGACACAAAATTCTAAATGTTTGAATCCCCCAGACTTCCTTACGCGACATCTTTTAGATGTCACCCGTAAATTTTTGGATATTCGATAGACATCGTCGCGATGATGCGACCGAACTTCTGAATTAAATCTACCTTTTTTGACCCTCGATTTTTCTTGGCTTTGCGCTTCAGTTATTGCGAGAAACCTGACAACGAGACCGCAGATATGGGTGGTGTGCCGCATGTAGAGGGTGGCCTGAACAGCGAGCTGTACGCAGTGCCGGTGAAACGGCGACAGCCAAAGGATCAGAAGAACAATGCGATTCTGCAGAACAATACTCAGGAAAAACCGACGGACGTGGATAGCACCGATTCCGAGGATAAAGATGAGAATCTGCCGTCCGGCTGGCAGAAGCACGAGGGTAGGTAGTCGAGCAAAAGTTGAAAGTATTCCGTTCTCAAATCGATACATGAAATCGTTTCAAGTAATTGTTACATATCAAAATAACTTTTAGATTTAGATTTAAATTATATTCGACAGAAAAAAAGTCGCTAAACTTTAAGATAAATTCAATACAAAAAAATTAATATATATTGGAAATATAAATTTTAGTAAATATAAATTAATGTTTTCCTTTCCTCTTTTCATTAGTTTTTTTTTTTTCCAAGTTTTTTTCGGGTTTTTTCATTTTTCCATATCTTCTTTCAATAATAAAGTGATATATCGATAAGATTGATCACCGAAAATTAGTACGCGACTATTATAAATTGAAGTTTCAAATTTTATTAATGATAAATCGAACATTATTTCAGACGAGAATGGACCTTATTATTGGCATGTGAAAAGCGGCAATATACAGAGAGAACCACCAGAGGCTCCGTTGCATTCAAAAACGGAGGCGCGGCGAAGTCTGGTCAAGGATAATGATAGCGTAAGTAGAATGATGTATTAAAATATTTTATACTCACTAAAATTTTTTTTTTTTTTTTACTTATATCAATAAGAAAATTAATTATTGTGTAATGATATTAATCAGAAAATAAATTATTATATAATGATATTAATAAGAATATAAATTATATTGTGTATTTATGTGTATTATATATCTTTCATTTGCGACGCTTTCGTTTTAGATAAATAATTTTCACACTTTGAGCGGCATGGTGAACACGGTGACTCGCAGTAACACAAGCTCGGCTCTGGACCAGGAATTGGAAAACAAGAGGAAGATGGAATTGGCGCTCAAGTAAGCGAATACCGCCTCGCTCACGGTCATCTTTGTGGCAATTGTCATCGATTCACCTCACTTATTTCTTTCAGACGAAGAAGCTATCCCGCCAGAGCGGATTCTGAGGGCAGAGACAAACCGATCAGATTTGCCGTGCGATCCTTGGGTTGGACGGAAATTGCGGAAGAGGATCTGACACCCGAGAGAAGCAGCAAAGCCGTGAACAAGTGTATCGTGGATCTCTCACTTGGTAGAAACGATCTGCTGGACGTCGTTGGGCGATGGGGCGATGTAAGTTCTTTCAGAAACCAAGTAGATTAAATCTGCATTATTATAACGATAAATTAAAAAAACGCACGAACAATAAGAAAAACAGTCTTAATGTGAAAAAATTTAAAATTATAATAGATATGATTTGTGAAAATATATTTAAGATTCTTAAATAATCAATAGTATATACCAATGTAATATACCAACATCGATTTTGTTGCGCATAAACACGCGATGAGAGATACATTACGAAATATTTCAGGGTAAAGATCTATTTATGGACTTGGACGAAGGGGCGCTCAAGCTGATCGATCCAGAGAATCTCACCGTACTAAACACGCAGCCTATTCATACAGTTAGGGTATGGGGCGTAGGAAGAGATCACTGTCGGTGAGTGAATTGTTAATTATCTTTAAATGAATTGTGAAAAACTGAGTTCCGGAATTTAGAGCTTTTAGAATGTCGGATTTTTTTCAATCTTTTTATTAAATATTACACGATATATTGTACTAACATATATATTTGCATTATTTTCATGAATGTCTGCTTTTCTTTGGATGGATCTAACAGCGAAAGGTAAAATATACGACGGGATATAAATTACATAAAATGTAAATTATATCTATAAAGTGGATTCCGTTTCTGTCTGGCGAAACGGTATTTCGATTGTTGATTCAGTTTATATTACTTCTTCCAGGGATTTTGCTTACGTGGCAAGAGACCGATCTACCAGGAAACACATGTGCCATGTGTTCCGTTGCGACATACCGGCGCGCACGATCGCGAACACGCTTCGCGACATTTGTAAGAAGATAATGATCGAGCGTTCGCAGCATCAGAATCTAGCGAAACCGGTAGACATCAATGGTCGAACCAGTCTGGCTACGAGACCTACCAATCTGCCCACTGAACATCGGCGCTTTCACAGAAACGGTCAAGCACTAGTCAGTAAGTAGCTTCAAATAAATCGTTCTTTTATTATTTCTTTAAATGGCACTTGGTAAATCATGAAATATATCTAATAAGAAGATACCTTATTTATGATAAATTTACGAAGACAGAAAAATCTTTAAAGAATAAGATTTTAGAGAGTTATTTGAAAATGAAACTTGAGTTTTAAATTGTTAAATAATTTTTGTATTATTTTCGCGCAGCACAATCTTTTCCAACGCCGATGGAAGAGCCGAAAAAGGTGCTACGAGCACAGTATCTCGGATCCATGCAAGTCAATCAGGCGACCGGCATGGAGGTGTTGAACGAGGCGATAGAACATATCGTGACAAACACGCCGATCAATCAATGGCGAAATGTCAATGTCGCTGTAGCTCCTAGCATGATCTCTATTCTTACGCCGAACGTGAGTATATTAAAAATATCAACATTTGAACATCGAAAAATTAAAGCGATTTCAATTATTTATAACGATTATAATCTTCTCAGGATGATAAGCTTATCACCGAGTGTCGAGTACGCTATCTGTCATTCCTTGGTATCGGTCACAATGTGAAGCAATGCGCTTTCATCATGCATACCGCGCAGGACTTGTTCATCGCACATGTTTTCAACTGCGAGCCCAGCAGCGGAGCTCTCTGCAAGACGATTGAGGCCGCTTGTAAAGTGAGGATCCTCTTTTTACGACCCTGCAAATTCTCTCTTGCTGAAAGAAGGCGCTAAATTAAGAAGACGTCTGTATTTCTTTTTCAGCTAAGGTATCAGAAATGCTTGGACGCACATCCGCAGGGTTTCAGAAACGCCAGCAGTCTTAATACTCCGAGCGGCAGAGGATTAGGCGCGACTTTGAAATCCCTAGTTGGTTCCTTGACTGGCCGTAGAAACAAGCAGGGCGAATCCTGAGACGAGGCTCTCTCGCTGCAGGTAAACTACTTTCGGATTATTAAGATTTATATCCTTCGTCAATATTAAGAAATTTTTCAATTTATTAATAATTTTTTTCAGACATTTTTGTAATTTTAATGTAAAAATGTCTTTTTTTTCTTTAACTATACTAAACTAATGGATACATATATGTGAGGATAAAGAAATTTAAAACGAGTGATTGGATATTTTCAATTAATCGTATCAGTTCCCCGACTGTCCGGTAGGAACTCTGGCCATTGCCTGCTGAGCGAGAGGTGATACGACACAGGCATCTCCAGTCGCCGTTGACCCTCAAATATTTCGGTGGCTCGCCGCCGAGCGCATCCCTCAAGTCGCTGCTCTCGCCCTCTCTGGACACCAGGCGTATCCAACTTGCCCGCTGGGAGAGCAATCCTTAAAAAAACGCGAGAACAAAGCCTGATAAGAGGCCAGGAAGCGGCTGTAGGGCAAACGGATATTCTCTTTACGACGTAAACGACTGAATTTCGCGAAAAATTCCGCAGAGTACTATACTAGTATCACAGCTATAGTGGACTATGCTTACCTATGTCGATATGATGTTATGTATGTTATGCAATGTCTGATGAAGGAGGGGAGAATTCGCGGATTTGTCGAGACACAGGAGCGATATAGGGTCGCATCGAACCTGTCGTGGAAATCCTTAAGAGGCAGCATGTACTAGCTTGTGAGCAGTATTCGCAGGAAATCGATAGAAAGAAAGATTATGAAGAGGAAAACGAAGGAATCGAAAGAGTTCGAAGAGTAAATTGTCTGTACATACAAGGTGATGATTACGCGCTAAATTTAATCAACTCGTTTGCTCGAATTGGCAGGGGAAAAAGAAGGAATAATACGCCCATAGGATTTCACAAGCGAATCAAGTTGCACGTATCGGAGAATGAGTGAGCTGCAGTTAACGTAGTAGTAAGCATAATATCCGCGAAGGCATTCGAGGAGATTCGAGGAGAGCTATAGAGAGCTTGCGTATACATATATATATAAATATAAATATATATAAATATAATATATAACTCACGTGTGCGTGTATTCTCGGGTGTACAGATTATAGGGAAACGAGACGAGAGCGATGACCGGGTCGCACGGGACACACGCGTACATGCGTGCGAAGAACGCACTTCCGCACACACACCAGCACGCGCACCGCGACTGTATCGGGTATCCCGCGGATGTACCGCGCTTTTTTCGACGACGAGATGCGCGATAGGTTCCGGGAAACACCGGTAGACATACACACGCGCACGTTAACACGACGGCCGATAGGGAGTTTATTTTTTATGGCGATTTAGTAGGAGCTTTAAAAAAAAGCAAAACTTGCAGCACCTCGGAGATTATGAAACGACAAATACTTATACCGCGACCGTCCTTTAGACTTGAACCGGGGGGAGGGGGGATGGGGGAGGGCAGCAATTAGGCGAGAGATCAGTGATGCGTAACGTTATCGAAATCACATGCGATCGTAGTCGGTCGTGTCACGCGCAATAATTGCGTGACAAACAATATCCGACATCTAAGATGCGAAATTAATGTGTCCGCGCGATAATAACTGTTTAAACCGAATAACAACGGTATTAATAATTTTTATCGATGATAATTATTCTTCTTATAAGCGCGAACGGTAAATAATTATTATTATCGCTAGATGCATCGTAGTACGACGTATTGCAGCTGAAAAATCGTATGCATATCAGGCCATTGCAATTTTTCCGATTCAGGAGATAGACGCATACGAGAGATGTATGTTCGTACAAAAACAATTGTTAAAAGGAATCAAATGTACGACACGTTCCACGCATCTACACACTAGCCCTACTTACGTAGGAACACGTACGTAGCCAAGCATGGATTGCATCTCGCACTAGCGATCGCCGCTATTAGTAGAATTTAGTAAACGATTCAGGCACGTTTCTGTGGTAATATTTAAATTCGATCGCATCGCACCGCGAATTCACAATCCACATATACACTTACAATTTACATGCGTGCGCACTGATGATGATTATACGTAAATGAGACTCGTCGCTGTTATTGGTTCGAAAGTCAAATATTATGATTAGACAGAATATGCGCTCTCTCTCTCTCTCTCTCTCTCTCTACTAATTTGTACCTAATTAATTTTTTATTGATTTTAATCTGTTTATATTTTATAGTGATTACATGAACAAATAGCTTACAATAGTATTTTAAGATTTAATAAATAATTGATCAACCCTACTCTTATCCTACAAATCATCTCTCTTTGAAATAAATCCAAGTGGCGCTTATTAATAATTATATTCAGAAAAAAGAATATGGGATATGCGATCGAGTCATTGAAATCGCATCGTCCTATTCCTTCCTAATTCTTTTCTATTAAGAGAGCGCAATTCTTGTCGTCCTGCGAGGACGGTCACGTCGTACGAGCCATCGTCGTTGCGAGAGATACAAAGTTGTGCGGGACCCAGAACGAAGATATTTCTATGTAGCACTTTAAGTAAAAGAAAAAAAAAAAAAAATAAATGCAGAGGAGCGGGAAGAAGGGAGGCAAGATATAATAGAGCGTTGCGGGAGAGTGTGCGTGAAAGGGTGAGTATGTATGGAGTATGCTGCTGGTCGGGGAAGGCGATATTTATTATTATTATTATGTAAATAGTTTATCGCGAGATCTTTCTTTTGTTTCGTTTTTTTTTGTCGCGAAATTGGATGGACGCGCGATGACATCTCGATAGGCGCGTGAACGAATTTAATTGCACGCGCGTCACATAATTTTGCGTTGAATCGTATCGTTGTACAGTGAGTTTTAAGGAAGAGAAATCGCCAACAGTGTCGCGAGTCTATAAAACATGGGATCGAAAGAGCTTAGTGGGAGTTTGTTCTGCGAAATTAAAATTCCTTCGTCTTTGTAATCGAAGATTTCATTCGACTATTCTCGCGAATTCTGTGCTTTGATGTATTTTATTTCTAGAATTACGGAATTGATTGCCGATCTCTCTCGAAAATTAGAAACGTAATTTTGCAGACAAATTTTCACCTATCTCTCTTAATTCGTGCGTTTTCTTTTTTTTTTTTTTTTGAAGAAAGGACAGAAAAAAGCGTGAGAGGAGAATTATAAATGGTGTGGATGTAAATATAATATTCACGTGTAGAGAGTAAGGCCGAAGCTATGGAATTCAACTGATACACACATTCACATCATCGCACCGCACTGCACACGTGTCGATGCATTATCTCACTTTCTCATACACACACATGCACACATATTCCCAAGTATATATACACACACGCGCGCATACAGAAGAGAGCAGAACATACACACTCACACAAATTACGCATAGCTTAACTGTCTCTTTATATAGGTGTTGATACGCCGTCACGGGAGAAATAATCTCGGATAAGGGAGTAGGCCGGAGGAGAAGGGTTCGGGTGGTAAAACATGACAGGAGCCACTTATAATTGACATAGCATAGCGAACCTTACTATATTTACCGTGACATGTAATACCCTTAACGAGAAAGAAATGCGAATCTACTGATAGAAGAGTTGTTCTGCACAAAAACACGATGCTTCATTGATAATTACAGTGTCTCTATCTCTCTCTTTCTCTCTCTCCCTTTTTCTTTCTTTCTCTCCCTCTCTCTCTCTCTCTCTCTTTCTTTTTCCCCTCTCATTGTTTCTCTACCTTGGAAAAAGTATGTATCTCTCTATCTTTATATTACTTATTCTATTAATTTTTTTTTTTTTTTTTTGACATGAGGAGTTTTTCTTAGAACATTGTTTTTATTCAATCGCTATTTCAATATTAACTTCTTAAATTTTTCTGGTTTTTTTTTTTTGACATGAGGAGGGTATTTTATATTCGACAATTTGTCATTTTATTACAGATTGATTACGGATTATTTTGATTATTCACGCTCTATCGCCGCTGAAAGCCTCATTGTTATTACATTGTTGTCATGATTATCATCGTCGCGTTATTATAGAAAACAAATTTAAGGAGCCGCCATTGTCGTATTGTCATACTATATATTATATATTGTTATCACCGATTTTTGCAAACGAGGGAGAGCGACAACGCGGATAAGTTAGATAATTGTCGATACAACATTTCTATAAGGATCAATCGTCGATTAAAAATGAAATGAAGAGAATTCTTTTCAAAACGGAAATTTACACAAATCGTTGATGATTGATCCTTGTCGGCAATTATCAATTTAACATATTAATTTGTCCGTGACACTCTCCCTCGAACAATACTCACCTGAAGTATCGCGAGAATCGATCCTTGCGAGACAATCCGGGTGAGAAGCGCTTTATAAAAAATAAGAAGAAGCAAAGAGAAAAAAGAAGCACACCCGTTCCGCGAGTACGTCCGCGTTCCGAGTGATTCGTCGAGATCGAGATACGACGAATCGCATTAAGCGAGTAGAACGAACAGCGAGATTTTATCTTGACACAAACACATTCACACACATATGTAGAATTTTATACGGTGGAATCTCGCTGCGTTGAAAATAAAATAGAAAAAAAATAAGAGGCGAACATAAAACGGATGAAAACTGCGCATTTTTTGTGTGCGAGAGAACAAACACTTTGTATGTGCACCCGCCCCCATTGTTCATGCCCATTTGTATTGCGTAGTTAAACCGAATCGAGTAATTACGAGTAATTACGAAACGGTTACGAGATACTATTATAAAGATAAAAATATATATATATATGTATACATAATGATATATGTATATGTATATATAAATGCAAGACAAAAATGAAATTACTGTAACTACACCTGCCTCTTGTGAATAAATGCCTATTTGTTTCTTTTCACATGTCTTGTTATTCCCAGCTTATTGAAAAACTACGTAAGAAAAAAGGTAAGCTGAGAATGGCTAAGTAATAATTATATTAAGAGAGATAAACGCAAAACGATAACGCGAAGGGATGGAAAGTTTTGATAGGAACGCAAAAGAGAGATGTTCGCAAAACAGATTGTATTAAATAAATATCGTCGCCACAATTGATCAGATCGAGAATTATACAATTATCATACAGTTTCGATGATGTGTATGCTCACATTCGGGAAAAAGAACTAATGTACAACAATGCCTACATACACGTGAGAAATCACACGTGCCGTGAAACGCGTGTCACATCATTGTTCCTTAAAGTCGATTATTTGCTAGAGTTTAAAGTATAAAGTGTAGGATCCTTAAGGAGCATCGTTGCACACACACATACACACACACAGTCATTGTTTAATATCGTAAAAACCTTCCAGTGATATTGCACTATCGTTATGTTAAAATATCAGAGATCACGGCTGGTTCGATCGACTTTTATCCCTAAACAATCATTTTTTTTCGATGTATCGCGAATAATTCATTGGTCCCGTTGAACGGAACGATGGACGGATAGTGATTATTCGTTGTCATCGTGATAATTCGATCAGTCATTCAAGCACGTGTAGAATCACCTTCATATATGTAATAGATGCATCAATCATTTCGAAGTCTTATAATTCTTGTGTGAATTGTTATTAATACTCGCAATTTAATCTATTGATGGAATTTAAAAAATTTGAATCTTTTTCTAACACGAGCATTAATTTGTTTCAAAAACATCATAACGTATTTGCATAATGAGTTAAAAATGACGCACAAATATTTTTGGAAAGGATTCTCTTTCGATTCTAATATAAGCCACATAGCAGTTTGAATCTTTTTCTAACACACGAGCATTAATTTGTTTCAAAAACATCATAACGTATTTGCATAATGAGTTAAAAATGACGCACAAATATTTTTGGAAAGGATTCTCTTTCGATTCTAATATAAGCCACATAGCATATCACATATAGTATTTCGATATCTCTTTATGTCACGGAAAAAGCAGAATACCTCAAGTGACTTCGTTCGCGCTTCGTCATCCGATCAGTTGATTTATGTTGTTTCGAAATAAAAGACCTTCCATTTAAAGATCGTTCTTGCTGTGGAGAATGGTTCGTTCCACGATGATGAGAATTACGGGACGCGTTCTCGCGCGAGAGAAAAAGCGGCTTCGACCCTAATCACCGAGATTGCTCGAGACTAGCCGGGACATTAATTCTTTACACTCTTTAGAT